AAGAGAGAGATATGTCACCGCCTTCTCAAGGATAAAGAGATCTTCACAGGTGCTATTTGACTACCAACGCTTAAAGTATTATTTGTGGCCGGCGTGGGTGCTCAACGCCTGTCCATCCTAGCACTCTGGGAGGCCGAGGCAGAGGATTGCTCAGGTCAGGAGTTCGAGACCAGCCTGAGCAGAGCGGACCCATCTCTACTAAAATAGAAAAAAATTAATTGGCCAAATAAAAATATAGAGAGAAAAAGTTAGCCAGGCATGGTGGCTCATGCCTGCAGTCCCAGCTACTCGGGAGGCTGAGGCAGGAGGATCGCTTGAGCCCAGGAGTTCGAGGTTGCTGTGAGCTAGGCTGATGCCACGGTACTCTAGCTGGGTGACAGAGTGAGACTCTGTCTCAAAAAAATAAAAAGTTATTTTAAGTAAGAATTACCTTTTCAGAAACATTGAGCCACCAATACAAAAAAGACATTATAAAATGCTATTGCTTCGGAGAGCAGCCCTAGAGCAGTGAGATATAGTAGAACAATCCCAGTCAACCAACACCAACTATCCAAAGGCCAAAGTCTTCTCAGCACCAAATGCAAATGGTAGCTTTTTAAAAGGCCATTTGCCTATATTTTTATTCCTGTTGAATATTGTTGCCATATATTTTGAACCTCAACTTATTTTCTAAGAGAAAAAGAAAAGATGTTTCTTATATTCTAGGATAAACTCAAACCAATACAGGAATTTTCAGTCTTTTTCCAACATTCCCAAATAGGATACTAAACAAAAAAAGTAGCCAGTATCAGATTTATTTGCCATTTAGAAAGGAATTAGTTAGGAAAGGGAAAGAAAATCATGATCATGGAAGTTAACAGGGATCTCTAATTAATTAATGTCTAATTAATGTTGCTGTTTGATAAAAGTCAGGAATGGAAATGGAATTATTGCATAAGACCCAACACTGGCAACCCCTGGCCACTTTGATCCCAGTTTGAGTACATGTGACAATATTGAATCTTGGAACGCAAACCATTTTGGCCATCCTTCCGAAATCTTTTTTCTTTGAAGAGATTTAACTTCAGACCCAGGGTAACCATTGTGAAGATTTAGAACATGTTTTACCCAGATTATATATTGAATTCCTATAGCCAATTGCTTTATAAATCACCGAATAACAAGTTATATTTTCTTTTTAACCAAATAGAAATGAAAGCATATTATCATATCACATAGCATGAAGAATATTATTATTATTCGAGAAGGTTCAATTACCAATGTAAGTAGCAAGATTTTCCAAAGGGCTTGACAGTTTTCTATTATTTGGTAGCAACTGACACTGCCAAAAAGGTCCAAAAATGTAAAATCATCTTTAAGAAATGTTACCTGAACTGCTAGACATTCTTTGTTTTTATATTGTGTGTTTTGTTTGTTTCGTTTTGTTTTGTTTTGTTTTTATAGCTTCACTCAATTCCGTATCATTTTGGGCGATATCAACTTTGCAGAGATTGAGGAAGCTAATCGAATTTTGGGACCAATTATTTCACCTTACTTTGTGTTCTTATGTCTTCATTCTTTTGGTATGTACATTTTTGTTTATAGTGAGGTGATTCAAACTTCATGTTCATAAATCACCATCTTTTCTTTTCTCTGTGTCCTGTCATTTTAAATAAAGACCCAGAAAATAGAAAAAAAATATAGATATTAGAAAACATTTGGGGGAAGGGAGGAAGAAACAAAAAAAGTAAAAGAAAACATTTTGTTTTCCTTACTGATTCACAGTCTTAAGATTTACTCAAATATCTTTTCCATGGTCTTTGATTTATCCATGTATATGTCTATTCAATGCAAAAAAAATTAGATCAAGTGCAAATTTATAAAGTTACCTAAAATAGTACTTTGCCTAAAAACTAGAATATGCTTACATCCTTTTTAAATATGTGTCAGCACTTTTAAAGTCCCTGCTAGCATGACTTTTCAGTTTTCTCTTTCTTCTTCTTTTTAAAACATAAGAACTGACAAAGCAAGTTAGCTCCAGGATATTAATAGTTGAGTGTGTTATTGCATGTCAAGATGAAGAAATACTCTTTTAACTTAATTATATTTAACACATCTAGAGACGGCCTACAAATAATATTCAAATATTAAGTTTCAAACTAAATCTAACAATAAATAGAAATTTCTTTAAAGATTATTTTCAAGAAAATAAAGTTTAATTTAAAAATAAAAATTGTCTTCAGAAATAATATTTTTATTCTCTTGATCTGGTACACCTTAACATTTTTAATGTTTTTGCCTTAAGTTAATTAAGATTTTTTTTTTTAAGTATTTTGGTTTTCATGTTGACTTTTGTATGTTCATTTGTCCACTGAGAAGGTATTAAATTAAGTTAGCTTAACTTAGGCAGTGGCTATTCTTTATCTTAAACATTAAAAATCATCTTAAGGATCTTTAGAACAATCATCTTAAGAAAATGACATTTTTTCCATTTCTGTAAATTTTTTTTTTTTATGCCTACTTTGAGTGTTCATTTCTGTAAATTTTATAAAGATCTTTTGTGAAAGATTGAATGATCACATTTTAAGTAATTCAGGGTGATATTTCCAAAGTCAGAGCAGGTATTACTGGTTAAGTGTATGGTCTTTACTGATTGAGTATTAAATTAATAGGACGTTAATAGGACTAAAAGAGTCAGGAATATCATGCAAATCCATCCGTATCTTGCCATTTCCGTGTATGATAGCTTTTAAACTTAAACCTCTGAAGCTTCTTCTTCCTATCATAAATTAAAGGAAAAAACAGAAGAATGAGCCGTTGTTCCCCTCTGACATTGGTAGTAGTCTAGATTCTGCAACACCTCAATCTCTACTAAGAAAACAAAAACCAGGAACTGAGTTCTGCAGCTAACCCTTCAGTTAACCTTAGGACACCTAGATTTCTCAGTATACCCATCTGCCCAATGAGGGACAGAATTGTGGCAATGGGAAATACTCATATGTGGGAACTGTGTGTTTAGTTTTTGGACACAGCTCACCGTTGCTCAGCTGAGGCCGTAGGTGTCAGCTACCGCTCCACACAACCCCCAACCCTGCTCCCAGCGATCCTCCTGCCTTACTCCCGAAGGCCCTGGGACTACAGCATGCAGCCACCCCACGCCCGCTCAATGTTTTTTATATATTTTTCATTTTCAGCTAATTTCTTCTATTTTTTTTTTTAGTAGAGATGGGTCTCGCTCTTGCTCAGCTGGTTTTGAACTCTTGACCTCCTGGAGCAGTCCAGTCACCTTGGCCCCCAGAGTGCTAGGATGTACCAGCTGAGTCCACCGTTTCCGACACACGGGCTTCATGACTATCCACCATTCCATGATTATTGTCATTTTGTCAGATCAACACCGAACGTGCGAGAAGAAGCCCTTAGTCTTTGACTTTAACCAAATAACGCAGTTTGGATCCAACTGCACAAAAGAACTCGCTCTCTTATCACTCCTCCAGAGACAGGCAGAGGTGACTTTCGTGCAAACGTCTCTTACAAGACAGTGCAAGATGAGGGAAGTGCGTTACACCCGGTCCGAGAGCGACAACGCCTGTGATTAATCGAAATCACCTCATGATGAACTCAAGAAGCCACATGGCCAGGCTCAGTGCTCATGCCTGTCATCCTACACTCTGGAAGGCCGAGGCACGGAGATCACTCAAGGTCAGTGAGTAGCATCTCGCGACCAGCCGAGGAAGAGTGACGACTCCTGTCCTACTAAACAAGATAAGAAAATTAATTGGCCAAATTAAAGATGAGAGAAGAAAATTAGCCCAGGCATGGTGATCACCATCTGTAATCCAGCCTACTCAGGAGCTGAGGCGGAGATCACTTGAACGCCCAGGAGTTTGAGTGGTGCTTGTAGACGACGGCTACCGCACCTGATCGCAGCTCTAGCCTGCAATAAAGAGATGACCTATCTCTAAACAAAACCAAATTCCAATAACAATAAGAACAGTTGTGATTGTTCGCTTGTTGTAATTCCTTCTCTGATGGTGATTGGATTTTTTTCCCTATTGTTTTTTTGTTTGTTTTTCTCCTACTTTTTTTTTTTTTTTGAGTTTTGGGTTTACCGGGCACGAGCGTGGTTTAATGGCGACGTTGCCACACCGCCAATCTACAAACCACCCTTCATACTGTCAAGCCGCCAGACTGTACTCTCTCAGAGTCTACCATCTCTCAGAACGGCAGGAGGACACGAAAACCAGTCCACGTTTTTAATAGAAGCACTACTAGCCGAAGACCCGCCTTGGTAAAGGCAAGACCAGGGCAAGGGCTTCCACGAGCACCTTCATCAGCACTCGGGAGCTGAGCCGGCAATCGCACAAGCGTTCAGGAGTTAATCAGGAGACCACAGTCCCTGAGCAAGAACGAGAAATTCCCGTCCACATCCAATATGCAAATTAGAAGAAAGAATGGTGGGCAACGAAAAAAGACGTAATCAAAATATACAAGCTGTAATATGTTTACAAACCACATTCCATGCTAAAAAGAGAAAAACCAGGCAACTTCCGGGGCCCCGCTCTTGGGGCCCAGAACCTCGTCCAAAATAAAAAAATAAAATAAAAAATAAAAAGGAAAACAAAGAAGAGAAATGTAAACAAAAAAGCGACCGCCAGATTACTGGTGCAATTCATTGAGAAAGTGATGGGAAAATACAAACCATTCAACTGGGGTAAGGAAAAGTCAGGAAATGACAACATAGTCATACTGCGAGTGTAATATCAGTAGCTGCAGTTAGGCTGTTGTACGTGCCATTAGTATCTGTCGTAATAGCAAGTGTATACCGCATCGAGATAACTCATCTAGCTATTAACTTACAATCTGTAAGAAGGGATACTGATTATGTTTCCCATTTTATCAGTGCAAAACAAATAAATAAAATCTTAAACATCTAGAAAAGTTAAACAGCGTAAACCCAAGTTTGCATGATTCCATAGTCTACCTCTCTTTCAAAAAGCTTTTCTTTGCTATCTTCCTACTAGCCCCTCTGTATTCCTATTTGCAGAGATCTTTTCAATTCTTTAGAATATGTTCTATAAATCTCAAATATGATTATATAACAAAATTTGGAATAAGCCTAGAATTCTACTAGTCTGTGTTGACTATTGAAATTTGAAGAGACTTTTCCAGTTCTATAGCCACAGTAATTTCTGTAAAATGTTTTAAACAGAGAGAACATAGATGAGCAAAAATAATAAAATAATCCCACCATTCATAAGTAAATAAATACGTTAATATTTTGTTATATTTCATTCTTGTCTCTTTTTGTAAAAAATATCGCAATATATGGTTTTGTTAAGTAAGATAATATGTAAAAATTTATACAATATTATAAACATACTAATATTTCCCTGTATATTTCACCCTGCAGGTGAAAATAATTTTCCAAGAGAATATGGTAGTAAAACTATTAATTTACAATTTCATAAACTACTCAGATTGGGAAGGAAATGGTATATGTACAAAAAGGCTTGTTTTGATTTAGGGGTTGGTGTCCACAGAAAATATTGAGATTCCTTCCTTTAATTTTGAACTTCCTTTGATTTTACAAACAGAACATGTTTTTGGCCATCATCAACGATACTTACTCTGAAGTGAAATCTGATTTGGCTCAGCAGAAAGCCGAAATGGAGATCTCAGATCTTGTCAAAAAGGTAGGAGGATGCTTCCTTCTCAGAATTGTCTTGTTTCCTCCATAAAATGAATATTGTTTCAGCCAGGTTTCCAAATCAACACTGATCCATTGACATTGTTTAAAATAAAGGGTAGATGGCAATATTTCAGGAATGATTTCAATGTTCCCTGTCTTCGAGGCTTAATGGCCATACTGCTAGCTTGCACCTCAATTTCAGAATCCTTTTATGCCCTGGGATTAAATTCTTAATAATCTTCTGGCTCTTTAAGAGCTGAGCTGCTGTTTTTTTATCACCTTTATTTGTTTTGGCATCTCCACTAGAAATCCTCAGTTCAAAATAAACTGGAAGGGAAGATTCTAGAAAGGTATTTCCAGCTTTTCTATCTCAATGACTGTTATAAAAAAAAAAGAAAAGGAAACGTCTTAGAGGAAAATACTTAGTAGCTCACCCATTACCCTTGACCTTCAGGGCAGTTTTTAAATAGTCAAAGGAAATAGGTTCATCCAGGGATTTAGGCCATAGCATGGGGGCCTGAGAACTTTTACTTTGGAACCTTCTCAGGAAGTATTTATTAAATAGAAGGGCAGGACAGGAAAGTTGGGTACCTTTGTTCTTCTCAATACGACTTCTTTATTTGGTTTAAAGTATAAAAGTTGCATAACGACAAATAACTGCATTTAAAGTACACGGCTTGGCCAGGCATGGTGGCTCACACCTGTAATCCTAGCAACTCTGGGAGGCCGAGGCAGGAGGATCTTGCTCAAGATCAAGAGTTCGAAACCACCCTGAGCGAGAAGAGCAAGACCCCGTCTCTACTAAAAATAGAAAGAAATTAAAACTAAAAATATATAGAAAAACATCATCTGAGCATGGTGGCGCATGCCTGTAGTCCCAGCTACTCGGGAGGCTGAGGCAGGAGGATCGCTTGAGCCCAGGAGTTGGAGGTTGCTGTGAGCGAGGCTGACACCATGGCACTCCAGTCCAGGCAACAGAGTGAGACTCTGTCTCAAAAAAAAAAAAAGAGAATAGGCCAGCAAAGATGAAAGTACAGCTAAGAGGCAGGGGGATTTTGCTTGAGGCCAGAAGTTCGAGACCAGCCTGAGCAAGAGCAAGACCCCATCTCTACAAAAAAATAGAGAAATCAACCTGGCATGGTGCTGTGAGCTTGTAGTCCCAGCTACTTGGGAGGCTGAGGCAGGAGGATCGCTTGAGCCCAGGAGTTTGAGGCTGCTGTGAGCTATGATGATGTCACTGCAGTCTAGCTTGGTGACAGAGAGAGACTCTCTCTTAAAAAAAAAAAAAAAAAGAAAAAAAAAAGAAATTTTAGCCAATAAATGAAAAGAAAAAATGATAGCACTGAAAGTAAAATGCAAAACAAGCACAATGGATTTACAGAAGCATGGAGTATAGAAAAACTTAGTGAAAGAAAAACTTAGTGAAAGCAGATTTGACAACAGAAATGAGGAACGAGACTGTGATGAGAAGGCTGAAGATGTCTCAGAGGAAATGATACCAGGAAAAACCTTCACATGAATATCTCTTAGTAGAGATATTTTGCAATAATGAAAGTGCAAAAGAAAAAGATGTTGGAAGTGAATCCATGTTAAGAATGGGATGACGGTGCAGAAAAGACATTTCACTGAATATTGTGAGGTGCATGGTGCAGTAGCACAAAATGAGAAGAGGGCAAGCACTGTTAAAACCACTCTGCACAGCACCTGATGATGGCTAAAAAAAACAGAAAGAAAAGAAACACGTTAAAAATTAAGTGAAAGTAAAAATTAAATTTTAATTAAGGTAAAAATTAAATTATATATAAAAAAACACTCTGGATTTGTTGCTTACAGAGAAATAAAATACTTTATTTTTCAATGTGTCTAATGTTTTTAATTCCAGTGTACTAAAGAAATAATGCATTTTATTTTTTTATTTCCTTATAAATTTATGTAAAAAAAAGCAAGGGAGTTTTTAATATTTCGACAAAAAATTTCAAAGGTGACAAAACTATTCTTCCTATTTAACTATTCAGTTCAATTTCAACTTGTAGGGATATATTCATTATTTATTCATTCAACATAACTTGTTGAGAGTCCAATTGACACCAGGCACCGGGTTTATAGTAGCTCCTACTACTATAAAATGCAAGGCAAATGCAAAGAGAGAATAAACTAAACCAAGCCCCCTTTTTTGTTTTGTTTTTCCTGCTAGGGCTACCATAAAGCTTTGGTCAAACTAAAACTGAAAAAAGATTCCGTGGATGACATCTCAGAGAGTCTGAAGCAAGGAGGAGGCAAGTTAAACTTCGATGAACTTCGACAAGATCTCAAAGGGTAAGAATGACACTTGCTGAGGGCCTGGGAAATTCGCACTCGGTGCATGGATTTCAGACTCGGGTGTCTTTCCGGATTATGTTGCACGAAAAGGACTGGCTCCC